GTCCCCACAAGGTATTACAAACACACACACACACACACACACACACACACACACACGCCACGCCAAATGCTGAATATGACAGAGCTGCTAACGAATCACTGCCTCATTATTAACATGCAGACGGTCGTTTGATCCAACAGGTAAATGAAAGTTGGATCTAATAATTTTATTTCTGTTTAAAAATAATAAATTTTATTTGTATAGCACATTTCAGGAGCAAGGCATTTCAAGGTGCTTTACATAATGAAAGAAAAAATAAAAACAGCATGTGGCAATGAATAAACAGTAAGAAAGGGATTTTGGAAAAAAAAGAAAGCAAGAAAAAGAAATGAAAGTTTGTTACGACTCTACAAAAGAAGAACAAACAGCAGCAATGAAAACTTTTTCACTTTGGTCCGAAAATACTGAAAATGTAATTATATGTTCAATTACTGATGGAAACGATTATCCTGACCTCATGCTGATGACCTTTGACCTCCACCGAGCAGGACCAGGAGCTGCTGTGAACGCAGCGCCTAGTCTGGACTGAAGAGAAAATAATAAATCTGTTTATGACCAAACGCACAGAAACTGTAATGACAAAGAAAGGGAGAGAGGTGGCGCCACTAACAAAAAATATACAGGGTGGAGAGAAGACATATTTAGCTCTAAGCTAAGTATTCAACAGCTATTAAGGTAATATGCAAATGTAAACAATTTAAGCAAACCAGCCGCTAAGCTAAATATTCAGCTTAAAAAACAGCATGTGCTGCTGATAACGTACATCCTGACGCCCTGAAAACGTGTTTCGCCCAGCTGGCCTGGATCGGGCTGTACGGTGACGTGAACAGCTGGAGGTGGTCCGTGTCAGACTCTGACTTCTACCAACATGAAGAGAAGGAGTTCAGCAACTGGCAGGCTGGAAAACCCAACAACGACGGCGGACAAGGGAACTGTGGAGAGATGAACGCTGATGGGTCCTGGAACGACGCGTCCTGCTCTAAAAGCCAAAATACAATCTGCCTTCAGGTCAACGGTAAGAAGTTCAACCATCAGAACCAGAGGAAAAACTCTGCAACTGAATGTTGGAGTTTAACCTCGGCTTTAAATCAATCAGAAGATGTTCAGTGATTTCTTGTTTTGCTGAATGAAATCCATCAACATGTTGATCCTCCTTCAGTCATTGCAACATGATGTTCCCATTACTGCCATCAGTAAAGGTGGGAAAATATTGTTTGACTGGAATCCAGACTTTAACTGAACTTTCTGCAGGATCAAATGTCACATTCGTTCACCTGGACACCAACCTGAACTGGAGCGAAGCTCAGAGCTACTGCAGAAAACATCACACAGACCTGGCCAGAGTGAGGAACCCGGCAGAGAACCGGCAGGCCAGCAGCGTCATCCCCAGAGAAAACGTCTGGATCGGTTTGTTCAGAGACTCCTGGAAGTGGGTGGAGGCCAAGAACTTCTCATTTAGGTTCTGGAACGAAGGAAATGATGAACCCGGTAACAACGGGACAGAGGAATGTGCAGCCGCTCACTTTGGGAGGTCTGGCCAATGGGAGGCCTGGTCCTGTGACCAACACAAAGCCTTCGTTTGCTACAGCGGTAAGCAAAACTTTGACCTTTGACCTTTAACCGCTGCAGGTGAAGGTGAAGCTGCTCCTGATTGGACTGAACCAATAAAGCATTTCATCAACTTCCTGAAATAATTATCCAAGTCAGTTTAACAAAAATGACTTTGATCATTTCTTGTTAAGGTCGTTATTTTAGAAAATATGATGATGATGAACTGATGGCCATGGACAGACAGAGTGCATGTAGGAAACAAAGGAAGTTTTACTTTTATGGAAATGACGTTTGACTAGATGTCCTTGTTTTACAAAATGATTGGAAACGACTTGAAATATACATTATAATGAGGTGAATTAAACTGTGTGCATTATTTTATTCCTACAGTTGATACTGCAGTAATTATGATGAAACTCCTCTGACGTTCACAGAATGAAAAAGTAAAGAAACACTGACCATAAAAACTGCTCATGATTTTAACCCTGTGTGCTTGTAACTGCAGAGCTGTGTGGAAACGCCTCACATCCTGGATGAAAATACTTTGTTGTTGGTGAGCTGAAGGGCTGGACTGAAGCTCAGAATCACTGCAGAGAACATTACGGGAACCTGGCAGTGATGGAGAACATGGAGGATGTGGGAAGTCTGAACAACATGGCAGCATCTCTGGGATTCACATCCGTATGTTCACTTTTACTCTCCTCACTGAACAGCAGTCTGAGCTGCAGACCGGCCTCTGGTTCGATCTGCTCACAGGCTGGAAACTTCATGGATACATCGTCACATCTGAACGATGTAGAGAAAAACAAAGCTGTAACATTCTCATTAGTTCAATTTGTAATTAATTCACCCAGAGTTGTCAGAACTGAGCTGTAACTCTGAACTCTGCTGATGTTTGCAGACAGCCTGGATTGGGTTGTACGATGACGTGAACAGCTGGAGGTGGTCCGTTTCTGAATCTGACTAGGACCAAAAGCAGGAGAACGATTTCACAAACTGGTACCCTGGTGAGCCAAACAACCATGCAGGAGGAGAAAGTTGTGCAGAAATGTTTGCTGATGGGTTCTGCTGATGTAACTTGTTCTAGTTTGCAAGGTTCCATCTGCTCAGAGGTCAGAGGTAAGGGATGTTTAAATCAGTCTTTCCAAACCCTGTTCCTCACGGTACACTGACCTGCATGTTTCAGATGTTCCCTTGCTTCAACACACCCCATCCGTCCGTCCGTTTCCTCTTATCTAGAGTCGGGTCGCAGGTTCAGCACCCTAAGGTGGGAGGTCCAGACTTCCCTTCCCCCAGCCACTTGTTCCAGCTCCTCCAGGGGATCCCAAGGCGTTCCCAGGCCAGCCGAGAAACATCGTCTCTCCGGCGTATCCTGGGTCTTCCCCTGACTTTGGGGAAGACACAGGCCAGAAAGGCTCGATAGGACTCCTTCTTCAGCCTGACAGCATCCCTCACCGAACGTGTCCACCAACAGGTTCAAGGGTTGCCGCCATGGCAGGCACCGACAACCTCATGGCCGCAGCTCCGATAAGCCGCCTCAACAATGGAGGCGTAGAAACATGGTCCACTCAGACTCAATGTCCCCCACCGCCCCCAGAACGTATTCACAGCTCTCCCGGATGGGGGAGTTAAGGCTCTGTTTCACAGGAGACTCTGTTCCTCCCAACCACGTCCCCCCAGGTCTCACATAAGGGAGTCCCCAGGACTCTCCAGGACCCTTTAGGGACTCCAAAAGGGTTATCTGAACTGTTTGGCACATAAGCACAAACAGTCAGAACCCGTCCTCCCATTCGTAGGCGGAGGGAGGCTAATCCTACCGTTCAGCAGGGTAAACCCCTCAAACATGCAGGGCGGAGTGCCTGGAGGACCAGGGTTGGGAAACACTGGTTTAAACATTGGTTGCTGTTGACCTCTGCTGCTGGTTTGCTTAAGAAAGTTCTTGTTTCAGGCTCAGAAGTTACGTTTGCCTTCATTAACGCCAACATGAACTGGACTCAGGCTCAGAGCTACTGCAGAAACCATTACACAGACCTGGCCAGAGTCAGAAACATGGCAGACATCCAGGAGATTCAGACGCTGATACCATCAGGACAAAGGGTTTGGATTGGTTTCCACAGAGCTGTCTGGATGTGGGCAGATGGAAGCAGGTTCTCGTTTAGCTACTGGAGATCCAGTGAACCTAATGGACCTGGTGAGAACTGCACTTCAGCAGACCTGGGAGACTCTGGACAGTGGGAGGACTGGGACTGTGATGTACAGAGGCCATTCATTTGCCACAATGGTAAGCCACCATTAAGCCTGTAGTCTGCTCTGTTGATGATGGATTGCATTCTCTATAGAAAGTGACGTTATTAACGGAACGCGTTACTGACGTCGGACCACTTTTTTCAGTAAAGAGTAATCTAACACGACGCCATTTCAAATCCAGTAATCAGATTAAAGTAACTTATCCAAATCACTTTGCGTTACTATTTTCTTTTGTAATTAAATATTATTTCCTCTGCGCGTCTTGGGGAGCGACCGCCGTTTCTATGCGACAGAAACAAACAATGGAGAGAAATGCGCTTTTTGTTGCTGGAGGAACAGGAACTATTTTGAGTTTCAAGTCCGATTATTAGAAGCAGTTTGGGCTTGTTTTCTTCTAAAGTCGCTTGCAGATTTAACGAGTTGCGGTTTTTGGGCTTGGAAATAAACAGACATAAACCCCAGAATTTGTCTGACATCCAGTTAATTTTAGTCCATCATTTGGATGATCCGTTAAAGTCAAGTTCATATATATATATGAAGTCCTATTTATAGTTTTCCAGATAACAGTGGAACACAAAAACACTCACAAATTACCAAAGGGTTTTATTTTGTACTGTTGTAGCCATTAAACAGTCTCAGTTCAACCTTATAAGTGGAGACACATTGTTGATGTTACCATTATAAAATAACTTATAATTAAGTTTTGGCAAAGATCAATGTAATTTTCACAGGTGGTGGAGCGTTGTTGTTGTTGTTGTTGTTGTTGTTGTTGTTGTTGTTGTTGTCAGCAGCTGCTGAAAGTAACTAAAAAAGTTACTTTTAATGTAACTTAGTTACTTTCCAAATAAAATAATCAGTAATATAACTAAGTTACTTTTTCAAAGTAACTATGTCTATAACCCCGTTTCCCAGTTCTGGTCATCAGGGTCCTAATGCCCTCCATGTCTCTCCTGACTGAAATATGCAGCCATTTTCAGGCTCCTGCAGCACCAGACGGCCTGCAGTCGTTTGAACCAGGTGACCTGGAACAGAGGCGGATCTAAAACATGCAGGCAGTGGGAACTGAAGACCGTCTAACAACACAGATCTCATTTTTAACTCGAGTCAGGAAGAGCAAAGATCGTCCTTAAGACATTTCACAGTTCAGGTGCAGAGATTCAGTCAAGTCCTCTGAATCAGTCAGAGCAGAATGATGGAAATGCGTCTCTCTGTTGTTGTGACGTTTGTTCAGGACTTCTCTCCAACTCATCAAACCAGTCGCTCACTGCTTCCACTTCCAACATTAACAGGTAATGTTTCCATTTTCAGTTGTCTCCAAAGAGAGCTGACAAGTAAACCTCAGCCTTGAGTTTACATTTATTTCATCACTGACTCCATATGAATACGCTCATGCATAAAAATTAATCATTTAATCCAGAGCAGAAGTTTCCCGGCTCAACCTTTGCTTCAGTTAAAATAATTCAGATGTATATTTGTCATTGCAGTGGTTTGTGGGAACTCAACACTTCCTACCCGTGAATATATAATCGTTGATGAGCTGAAGACGTGGACAGAAGCTCAGAGATACTGCAGAGAAAATCACCAAGACCTGGCAACCGTCACCAACATGGAGGTGTATGTCTTCCTTTCATGTGATGGAGGTTTCTGATTGGTTTTATTTAAGGTGGGAGGGGCTAACTGCTCACAGGAACTCAACCAGAAGCAGGAAATCAGACACATAAGCTAGAAAATGACAGCAGAGTCACATTGAGGCTTCTGGCAGAAACAAGAGCTCAAAGCAAAACGGCACCAATAAAAACACACTAAATGTCTGGAGGAGGAATTTACTGTGTCCTCTGAATGTTTCCAGCTGGCCTGGATCGGACTGCATGAAGACGTGAACAGCTGGAGGTGGTCCATGTCAGACCAGTATCGGAACCAGTTCAGGAACTGGGCAGCTGGAGAACCCAACAATAGGTTTGGCAGAGAAAGCTGTGGTGCATTTAGTGCTGATGGGTCCTGGTACGATGCGTCCTGCTCTCAAACCTTAGACACGGTTTGCTTCAGTGTCAGCGGTAAGGATTCATCAGATACACAGACTCTCCTGTTTTCCTCAGCGATTCAAAAAGGTTTTATTGTTCGACTTCTTTGGTCTGTTTTCAGGAACAAATCCTACATTTTACTACAGCAGCACCAAACAGAGCTGGACTGAAGCTCAGAGCTTCTGCAGACAACATTACACAGACCTGGCCAGCGCGAGACATCTGGCTGACAACGAGGCCGTCCAGGGTTTGGTCCAGAGAGCGGCCTGGATGGGTCTGTACCGAGACTCCTGGAAGTGGGCGGATGGAGGGAACTCCTCGTTCAGGAACTGGAACCGAGACGAACCCAGTAACAACGGGAAGGAGGAATGTGCTGCTGCTAACTTTGGGAACGCCGGGAAATGGGAGGGCTGGAGCTGCAGCAAGAAGAAAGCCTTCGTTTGTTACGCTGGTGAGGAATCCTTCACTCTTCAGTCAACTTCACAGCCAATAAGTGATCCTGGTTCCAGGCTGAAACGTTGCAGCAGCTACATGATAACTTGATCAGTTCCTCGGTAGTTTAGTAGACTTTTACCAAAAACTTGTTTTCTCTGGAGTAATTTCTAGGATGGATACTTTTTACTTTTACTTTAGTAAAACTATGTTGCACATCAATCTTCCTTTGGTTTGATAACGTCTCATCACTGCAACATAATATTACAATAAATCATAAGTCTTTTTTCTCTAAAAGCGGTCCAGTCAAAGCATCTGGTGAAACTGCAGCTGGCGTTTCCATCGTCTGTGACTGAGGATGACTCTGCCATGATGGAGGAACTTCTCATCAAGGTCATCATCTCTTATTTGATCACATCACAAACATTTCCAGCTGAGGCCGCTTGTTGAATCTGAGAGGAAATGAGAAGAATAAGTAAAAATGCTTTGATATTCAGGACGTATTTGTGTTTCAGCTGAAACAGAAGCTGAAGGACGATGGAGTGAAAGGAAACGTCAAAGTGAGCTGGAGGAAACGACCAGACAGGAAAATCCTCCACAAACCAGAGAAGAAGAAAGATGAACTTTAAATACTGGATCATTACATTATGGTGGTTTAAAGTTAATGTTTTATATTTAGTCTTTA